TGTGTGTGTGTGTGTGTGTGTGTGTGTGTGTATGTGAGAGAGAGTGAATAAGAAACATGAAACAATACATCAGCCATCCTCAACACGTCCTGAAGCTGCAACATGCAGAATTTTCAGCCATCGTGGAAAGCGTGGTGGAACTACAACCTGAGCAACATAACTGACATCTGTTCTGGCCAGATCTGCTCTGAAGCAAGGTACATTTCCTAAACAATTGATTTATTAAAGTTATTCTTTAGCAATATGTATTTTCACTTACTATATTTCCTTTTTGCGCAACACTTGTCATTTGCCTAAAGACGCTGCCTGCATTCCCAGTGCTAAAAAGCTCCAGCAACAGCTATTCAGAAACATGAATTTTGGCCACAGTGTTTACAGCTTATTGGCCAAAATGGACACAGAGCTGAATTTATTTAGTAATTGGGACTCCAATGCAACCTATTATTATATTTTATCCTATCTTTGTTTAAATATATAATTCAAGGCAGTGAACATACCTAATACTCCTGCCTCCTATTTTCCCCACAACAACAACCCTGTGAGGTGAGTTGGGCAGAAAGAGCGTGGCTGGCCCAAAGTCACTCAGCCAGCTTTCATGCCTAAGGCGGGACTAGAACTCAAGTCTCCTGGTTTCTAGGCCAGCACCTTAACCACTACACTAAACTGGCTCTCTACTAAGAATGGAATTATTTTGTAAACAGATGGAGAATGGTTTTTGTTCACGATAGGAGGTGGCTTCTAGATGAAGATTTGTCAGGAGAACTGATGGAGGAGGTCATATTAGCACTAGGGCACCGATATGAGATGTCTAATAATAGAGCCAAAGGAGTAATTGAATGTACACGTGGTGTTACCCTTAGAGATGGTTTGGAAGGTTAATGTGTTTGCAGGATGAGGTAGCAAGATTACTTGCAAAAGTAAGGCATTTTAATCACTTTGCAACTGCTTTATCAGTTGCATCAGTCGCCTATTTTATGTGAGCATCATTTTCCCTATAAATCTATCCTTGTAAATAATCAAATAGACATAGACATAATGGCTTAGTGACACATACCACAGACGGTCAGATAGCTCTGTGATCTCTTAATGGGCTGACGGGGATGGCTGAGTGCTAGTAGAAGTGCCATTTTGGGGGATGACTCTGTTGTTTCCTTGCTAACAAATGGCTGGTGCTTCCTTAGGTGGAAAGACTCTTTGAGGCTCTCTGTGCGAATGGCCGTGTCTTTTAGGATTTCCATGGGCTGCACGATCTGCTGGGTCTCTGAAAAGGAGGCCCCATCAGGCAATGGTTCTGTCTGCATAGCAGTCTCTGCCCTCTGTGACAAATGGCTCTGAACTGGCAGCTCTGTGGAGATGCCAACATCCACCATGCAACTTTGAGCTGAGCTGGGAATTGGGGCCATAATCAGGCCATTCATGGAGCTTAAGGGGGTCCCTGAGGAGTAGGATGACATGGATGAACTGGATTCAGAGGTTTGGGACAGCTGCTGCAACTGGCCATTGGTCACTGCAAAGAGAAGGTAGAAGAAGTTAACTTTTGGGAGTCTTCAATATACAACAAATGCATAGCTGCTGCACATTGTGTACATACATTTTTTATATATTTCCTTGTTCGACTTCCCAGCACTTGGTGTGCTATATTTTGCATCTGAGAAAAAAATATTATTTTCCCAGATAATGCAAGTATTGCTGTTTCTGCTGCTGCATTCAGGTTGTTATATGAGTGCCACTGATTATCTATCTATCTATCAATCATCAGGCTAGTATATTGCCTCAATCACAAAGACAACTTTAGGTAGTTTACGTATTAGGATAAAACAATGACATAAGAATAAAAATAATGATACTCATTGGTATATCAGAAAAAACAAAACAAAACAAAGCCAGTCACAGTCATAAATCGGTATCAGGGTGTGCATCATGACTCACTCTGCCCCAGGGCCCATTGTAAGAGCCAGGTATTTAAAGCTTTATGAAAGCATAGGTAAGTTGGTGTCATATGGATTTCAGTTCTCTAGAGTATGCCTGGCCACAGAGAAGTCCCATCTCCTAGGTCCTGCAAGATGACGTTACTTTATAGAGACCTGGAACAAGAAAACTCTGCCAGATCCTGGCTGGTCAGAAACAACAGAAAAAAGGCAATCCCATAGATATCCAGGTCCTAAGCCATGAAAGCCTTTATAATGGCAACCAGGAAACTGAATTGCACCGAAAAGCCCATTTGTAACCAGTGCAGCTCTTAGAGGTGTTACATGGACAAAATAAGTGCCCATAACTATTTATGCCACTGTATTCTGGACCACCTGTAGCTTCCAAGTGGTCTTCAAGCATAGCCCCATGTACAGCACATTGCAGTACTAAAAATAAGAGGTGATTAAGGCATTAAGGCCTCCAAATCCAGGAAAGGTAATAATCAAATTACAAAATTGATCTTGGTTGGCCATAGGTGCTACCTGCCAAGAGTCCAGGAGGACCTCCAAATTATGTACAACCTGAGGGAGGGTTACCCCACTGAGAACTAAAGATGGTAAGTCTATGGAAATGAAGGTCTGTGAATGCAAAGCCACTTGCTCTTACTAGGATTGAGCCTAAGCCTGTTCCCCCATCCAGACCTTTACAGACTCCAGGCACCAGGACAAGGCCTCCTTGGTCTTGCCTTTTCAGACATGGGACAAGATGCAGAGCTGTGTATCATCTGCATATTGATGATACCTGACCTGTGCTGATGGATGACTTCACCCAGTGGCTTAATATAGATATTATATAGGAGTGTGGCAATCATTGAGCCTGTAGGATATCACAAAGCAAGGGCCCCACCATCAACACTGACTGAAGCAAATCTCAGAGGAAGAAGAATGACTGCAGAATAGTGCCCACCACTCCCATCCTCTGGAGTTGGTTTAGAAGAATATCCTGACTGAATGTATCGAAAGCTGCTGAGAGATTGAGCAGGACCACAAGGGTCATGCTACCCTTTTCTTGGGCAATCACAAATGCAATCAGTGTTGCCTCAGTAGTGCAAATGAACCTAAAGCTCAACAGAAAAGGGTCCAGATAATTGCTTCCTTCAGGGCCCTCAGGGGTTGCAGTGCAACATCTTCTCTATACCCTTCCTGAATTTTTTTTTATTTTTGGTATTGTCTGCTTTTTAACCTATTTCCCACATGTCACCTATTATTCCAAATGGCAATGTGCAACATTTGTTCTTCCATTCATATGTATATTTCATGATCTTTCAAAGAATGTGATGAATGGATGGATTGATGGGTTTAGAGAGAATTGGTCTACTTATGTGCAACTCCAACATGAGGAGCACTGATTCATCTGTTTGTTTTTTCTTTTGTAAAACAGACTCACAATTCTGTGATACTGCAAGGATGTCTTTTGGTTAAAGAACCTGCTGGGATGTGAGGGTTGGGCACCATCAATATCTGTCTGCGCAACACAGCACCTGCTCTTGGGTTCATGTGTGTTTCTTAATGTGGCACCATTTATGCGGAAGGGGAGGAAAGCAAAAAAATGTTTTTTGAAATCTAGGAATAAAATAAATAGATTGCTTTGGCATCCCTTATTCTTCCTTAGCAAAGCAACAACCTCTCCAGAAAAGATGTCTTACATCTGTTGAGCCAGCAGTACTCAGCCACCATTTCCTTGTACGCCGGGAATCTCCCTGTTTCCTAAAAGTGAGAGATAGAAAAAATGCAATATGTAATGGGATCATTTGCTACCTGACCAGCACTGTGTGGAAGTTTAAGAAACTAACCAGGTGGAGAAACACTTTGATAAATGCTTGCCCCATGGCTAGGTCCCTTCCTAGCTGAAACTGGATCTGCTATGTTTGAAATTCTGAGTCCCATAGCAACTTCAAGAGGGAATTACTTGGCAAAAGAAACTGAAGGAAATTTTGGGACAGAAAAGCATACTGGAAAGCTTAGCTGGGTGGGATGCTTGGTCTGCACCTACCTAGAACTGATGAAGTCTATCTCTCTTCCACAGCAACGATAATTTCTTTAATAATAATGACAGTCTTGAGACTGGGATAAAGTTTGGATAGCCTTAGTCTGCATTAACCCTTCTATGAATAATACCCCTTCCTATAACTGCTTTTGACTAATACTTGGCAAGACATCAGCCTCACCTTAATGGTCAGCATGATGTGGGTCTGCCCCTTTAGCACTTCCACTGCCCTGCTATGGCTGATGTTATCAAACTTGATTCCATTGGCTGCAAGGACTTGGTCACCAACCTTGATCCCATGTTGCTCAGCCAGCCCGCCAGGATCCACTCTGGGAATGATACAACATTGAATAAACACAAGCGGGACAAGATCAGGCTTTTCCTGAGCAAACAAGGTAGGAGCAGAAAAAAACTGGATCATCTTGAGAGAGCAACAAAGTTGATAAGGAGTAAAATGCTTATGTTAAAAATGGAAAGGCAAGTTCCTCTAGGACAGGTTTTCTCGTGGCTTTCTCACAGCATTTGACCAATTTTGATGTCAAGATTCAACAGATAAAAGTATTTTCCAGTCTGGCATTCTCCAGATGTATTGGACTATGACTGTAAATATTAATTACAAATAATATGAGTTGTAATTCAGCACATCTGGAGAGCATACAGGTTGTGGAAGGCTACATGAATGCCTGCACATTTTTCTAAGAATCAGTATGGGAGATAGTAGACATTTATTTCTGATAAATTCCCTAATATCTCAGTACTTTATTCTGCAAATAATGACATGTTTTAAGTTAATGGTAGAAGATTTGGATAAATGAAATCCAAGCTTATACAGTGCTGAATATGATTAGACCCCAAATTGTATCAGACCATGAGCTATGTGCTTGTATATGTCTCCACAGATTTGTATCCTGAGAGATATAAATAATTCTTACAACAGCAGCAATAAAATAGTAACATGGCTTTCTCTTTGATGCTAGATTCTCGTTTTGCAAATAGTCAGCATGGAGGAGGGATGATCTGGTTGGACAGAACCATTGATTGAAAAGTTTAGAGGCTTTAACTGTTTTGCTGTCTCTGAAGTCCCAATCTGGATCATCCCCCTGCATGCTTACTATTTGCAAAGGCAGAACATCTCCCACTGAAACTAATGAGAGTTTGAACTAGGACCCTATCAATTCAGCCTCTAACTTATTTTCCACAGATCAAGGTCTTGGGCACTGGCTACTTTGCAAAAGGTAATTTACTTCCTGAAACAGAAACCTCAATATTAAAGTGGAATTTGAATCTAAGTCCTGATGGCATCAGGATCTGAAATAGTCAAGAGCAGAGCAGAAGGTTCTAGGATTAGTGAGACTCACTTGGAGACATAGATGCCAAGGCCATACTCCTTCCCTCCACGGATGTTGAAACCCAAGCAATAATCATCAGATGTGGTGTAGAGATGGACAATACGTCGCCTTCCTATCTCAGAGCTGGTATCTGAGGGACTTGACCCACTCCTCTCCACAATCAAGCGCCCGTTTACCACATCAACCCTGTGACAGGTGAAGAATTAATCCAATATTCCAGGTGATCAGGTTTTTCTACTATTCTCCAGTTTCTCCTAAACAGCTGAAGTCTTTGAATAGGCCTGCAAACTGCCCTCTCACCCCTCTGACAGATAGATTAATCCAGCTTCATTGAAGTGGGTATTATTTTCAATCAAGGCTCATCACAATCCAAGAGCATATCTGGCTGTGGCCCTCAAACCTTTTGAACAATCCCTTTCAGCATATGTGATTCCCTCCCTCCTATTTATATAATCAGAGCTCCCCATCACATCTGGATTTATACTTTTAAATCAAAGAGAGTGCCTGTTGTCCAAGTATGTTTGGACTTTCAAATTTCTAGAATTCAGGATGAAGTTGATGTTAAAAACCAACTTCTCCCTAGTAGATTTTGGGACTGGTATATAATGGTGCTGTGATGCACTAAGGAAATCTGCATTCTGCTCTCTGAGCAATTGCCTGCAGTTGTAGAAAGTAAAATAGCAGTCATGCAGTGACTGAAGGGTGCTGGCTTTCTGCATTGCCAGAAAAAGAGGCAGGGGGGAGCAGGAGGAGGAGCTGTTCCTGTGCATCTGTATGATGAGAAGAAGGCCAGAGCAGGAAGGGAAGATCCAAGACTTTCTTTATTTGCATTTACAGTATTTATTAAACTTACACCATCAATCTAACTGAAGTTAAGAAAACTTTCCCACGAGGTGAAAAGGAATAGCTCTAAATAAAGTCAGCACTTGGTGAAGGCATACTTAACAGATAGGGGGTAAAAGAAAAATAAGAACTTACAGGTAGGAAGAAAGGGTGCAGTGGAATTTGGATGAAAGGGAAAGAAACATAACATTTAAGAAAAGTAGTATCCTTAAAATATCAGAAGAGGAAAATAAAAAGGCCTTTATAATATGAACAACTTAAATATAAGTCTTATTTTGTAAATAAAACTGTTTTGCTGAATAAAAACTTGTCCCACCAGACTGACTTGAGTTAACTGTCTAGTTGTTGCTGTCACCTGATATAGTCCCCATGACAAGCAGGCTTTCCCACCCTTGGTGCCTTCCAAAAGAATGGACTTCAGTTCCTAGAATTCCTCAGCCAGCATCACCATCCTTCTACAGTGGCCAGACAAAAGCATTGCTGCATTCGTGAATTGCAGTGAATTGTTGTGGCAAGGTAAACCCTGTCCTTATTCGTGATTTATTGCTACAGTGGTGGCTGGATAATAATATAAATTATTAGTGCAGAAATTAACTATAAATTGCTCATCTGGAAATATTCTCTCTCTTCAGTACAAATAAATATTTTCCGATATTCAAATTCAACACTATTTTGAATGAAGTGCTTTGAATACTGATTTGATTTCTAATGTTACTGCAATTGTTTTTACATTACAACTGAATTCAAAGGCTTCTACTATATACACGTTTTTGTCAGTTGCATGTCATCACAGGCCATTGCCTTTTACTTATCAAATTTTCCCACATACTAGCTATTATTGCAAAACATTTTTCAAGTATGATCAGAGCAAAAACATGTGCATTGTCAGGGCCAATTCTAAGCACACAGCTGAGAAAGGATAAGGCCAAAACACTGTTCTGGATGAGCATGACCCACAGTTTTCTGGAACTTATGGGTTTTACGCATAGATATTGGGACTAGAAACTTTTTCTGAAGTCAGGAAGTTCAAAACCAGTGTAATACACCAATGTATATCAATTGTCTGTATTGCCCAATATTAAATAACACTGCATTTCAAGTTACCTATCAAACCCTATCAAATATCAACTGCCTGATATTTGGTACTGACATCAAGTATCATTTTGTACCATAATCTGATATTACATGGTGCATTGTATTCAAGTTTATATGACACAGAGAATTTTCAGAGCTGATAATGGATGGAAATTCTTTTAAACAATATGTCAGCAAGGAATTTTTTCTGGCCTGGACTTCCCCTCTCCCAATATTCTCATCCCAGGTCTTTTTTACCTCAGGCTTGTCAATTCCCAGGGCATGGTCTGAGGGCATCTGACACAACCTCTTGCTGACGCTAAGGAAGTTAGTGTGCAAATAGGGGGATCACTTGGGCACAATTTGTATGCTGGCTATGAGTTCCAATGGACTCAATTTTTCAGCCAGATTTCCGTGAGCATGATTGATATCCTCTAGCATCCCTTCCCTTCTTTCCTTTTATTAAATTAGATGGTTTTCCTCCTACCACTCTCCATATCCTACCTGCATACTACATAAATAAAGCCTCTTTTTAATCCCAGTTTCAAAATCATTCATTTTGGAAAAAAAAGTTTAGCCCAGTAACCTCACATCCTTTTGACCAGTGTTGTCCAAACTTGGCCACTTTAAGATGAGTGGACTTCAACTCCCGAATTCCCCAGCCAGCATGGGTCCACTCATCTTAAGAAGTCCACTCATCTTAAAGTGGCCAAGTTTGGACAACACTGGTCAAAAGGATGTGAGGTTACTGGGCTAAACTTTTTTTTCCAAAATGAATGATTTTGAAACTGGGATTAAAAAGAGGCTTTATTTATGT